CAAAATTTCCCCTCAAAGGACAGGAAATAGCAATTTAACTATTTCAGGTCATGAATTGAACCAAAACAAGGGAGTCTTCAAAGTGATTTCGCCAATCTAATTCTAGCAGTCTTATTCCTAGGGAAGAGTAAATAATGAGGATGATGCAACCATTCAGCCTCCATAAACCCACCCCAAGGCGACAGAAATGTGCTACTTAATCCACTTTTATCATACCTTTCGCCTCCAATAGGCAAGCAAGCAAACTTACCTCAAACCTCCAGCCACCTCCCTTCCTACCACCCCACTTCCCCTCACCCCAATTTCATACCCTGCCTACTCAATTTCACATGTGATTGGTTGTCTACGATGAAGGCAATAAGCACTGGGAAAAACATTGATGAATGAAAAAAGACAGGGATATGGGTGACGCAGCGATTCCCCTCTCCCTCCTCCTCGGCATGAGGCCAGACTTGCGCTGTGTTGCTAGAGGGAGAAGAAGACGAATAAGGCTTTCCTCCCATTCATTGATCGTCAGACTTGGGTTGTCTCTGAGGGAGTGGTTTGGTTGCACACCTTCGAGCTGTAGCAATGCAGTTCGATAACCCCATACATAGGCTTGATCTTCGGTGAGTGAACAGATCATAGTGAACAACTGTGTTTCCAAGCGTCGTAGTCTTGTGAGGATAAAGTTTTGCTTGCCTTTGAAGTGCAACCTGGACGGTGTGTGGGCTGTCAGTAGGTGATCGCCGACATCTCCAATCAAGTGCCGAGCGTTTGTTGCAATGAAATAGTCATTTATCATTACAAGTCAATCAAGTCAGCAAATCACCCTTTCCCAATAGCAGTAGCGCCTTCTCCTGACGCATAACGTAAGTGAAAGAAGTGAATAACAAATTGGTGGTCCTTGAAGCCTAATGTGTCTGCCATCTTCTTGTGCATGCCATGTGGCACTTAGAATTGGTTGGCTCGCAGTCCACGTTCATCTCTTCCCACTTGATGTCGGTGCTGGTTACTTGTT